TGAAATTGTTGGCCTTAACAAAACTCAAAGTGGCAATAACCTCAGCCCAAACTCAGGTTCTGAGTCCATTGAATTTTTGCTGGTGGGAGTTGTGCAGATGAAGCATATTCTTGGGGAGAAAAACATTCCGCAGATGTTATGGCCAAGATAGACCCTCTCTTTTAAGTACTAGTTTTAAGATTTTTCAATAACCTCTTAGTTAGGTATCTTCTGCTTTACCGGAAGACTGTTACGGGGTACTTAACCCCAGGATGTGCAACCCTTGATTTTTCTTAATGCAATTTTTATTTTTACCAAAAACAGGGGGGCTGTAGAAATGAAATGAATGCATTATTGAACGCCGGTAGCCATGTGGCTGTGGGAAAGAAATATGAGCCAATCATGACGTCATTTCATTTTAAACAAAACACAAATATATGCGCCGAAGTTGACTGGAATTATCTTATTGATTGGGTGGTACTAACGCGCCAAGCCAACTGGAAAGATTAATATGCGAATTGATTTTCTCAGGTTGAATAATAAGTGCGGACAAAACATGTGGATACTCCAGCATTTTCCAAAATTTGTTTTCTCCTCCCCCTTTCCGAAATTTGTTTTCTTCTCTCGCTTTACCATCTCGTTTAGCTGGCTAGTTGTACCATATGCAGAAAATGTCAAAGGATTAGTGACGTGGTCTACAGGTTAGTCAATGATACCTCTGGAGTCAATGTTTGATGCTTCCGTTCCATGTATGAGCAATAAAAATACAGCACGGCAGCAAACATTCAGTCTCCTGTCATTTTTGACCCACACAGTCAACTTTTAACATTACATAATCACTATGGATAAAACATCCAATCAAATGCCAGTAAGATCTCATGCAAATGGCTAGAAGTTTCAATGCCAGTGCTCAATACAAGATTCTCTACGCGCTATTATTAGTTCATGCTTGAAGCCTCGTATAAGTAGATCTATGAAAACAAACAAGAGCGAACTTGACATGGAACATCAGTACTGCACTTCCATGGAAATCGGTTTAGAGTTTTAAAAAAACTTACTGCCAACCCTAGTATTTTAGAAGTCCAGAGATGCCATCAAAATTTAAGTGGGCCCATCAAGACCAAACTTGCTCGCAGCTTTTATATGGTGTTCTATTTTAAACTGAAACCTCAAATTAGACACTATATACCATGCAGTTTTTATCAAGCCCTTGCCTCTAAGTGATTCTAGGATCAGAGGATCAGGATTCAACGTAAATGAAATCCACAATCAGGTGTAAGTGTCATGAGAAATACAAGTAAAAGGAAACAAATGTCTGAACTGCACATATCACTTTTCCTCCAGTCGCCTAAGCACTGAATCAGCAAAGCTTTGTTGCCTGCAAATTCAAAATTACCAATGACAAATCAGGTCCAAGAAGAAACATTTCTTTCCACAATCAACAAAAGGAAAGGAAGAAAAGGATACGAGTGTTTGTCTTACTTCTGTTCCCTATGTTTAGGGCTAGGGCGAGAGTACTTTAGATATCCATCCCAAGGAACCTTCTTGAGACCTGCTCTGACAGATATTATGTCCCGGACCCTGCATGGACATGTTGAAACTGAATCAAAGCTACACATCTTTGGATGACAGTTTGAAGACACGACCCTCTCCCTCTAAAGAAGCTAGATTTTTAATGCATTCACTCACCCACCAAAACCAAGAAAACTAATATTACCTCTCTGCAAAATCTATGGGTGTTTCTCCAGGCTTGAGATTCTGGGGCTCCAAATACCACACATCACAGACAACAGCCCAAGATGTCATAAGCTGCAGCAGATGCATTGTAAAGGACTGCCTGCAAAAAGGACATGTGAGTTTGTAATTCACCATTGAGATCAAAGCAACAGAAAAATATATCTCAGACATGTGACTCGATAATACTCCTAGATTTCTGCCTAACAAGGAATTTGTCTCCTTATTGTATGTAGTAGACGGTTGTTCAGCCAACACCTGGTCCCACGTTAGAAGCTCAAAATGAATTTTTCTTTGCCCAGTAGCCAAAAACCTTGCAGTGTTCACCCTATCACACCCTTCTCTAACATGATCTATGAACTATGGTATGTTGTTAGCAATTTAGAGAACTGTGTTTGGGTTCAGACAGCACAGAAATATATTTATGCTTCCTCAAATACAATATCCTTTTCCTTTCTGTTCGCAGATGCAGTCAAGCACCGCACCACAGCAATACCAATATTGAGACCACACCTTCCACCTCACTTTTAGAATGAATCTCTTTACAAGAAGGAAAAAGAAAAACAACTTGGTTAAACAAATAGAAACTGAAGTGCGTGGTATACAACATCACCAACAACAACCCCCACATGCCAGAATATGCTTTAGCTCCAGACATTCATATTTACATGCACAGAAAAAATTTAGGGCTTTTAAAGCAAAATCTTACTTTCTACTATTCCAAAAGGCATCAACGAAAATTTTGTTGTACTTGATTGCAATTGGACAAACAGTGCAGCCAAGTTCAAATGCACCCTAAAGACCATCAAGAATCCAAAGAAGTTAAAGAAAGAAAAATTAAGCAATTCTAACAAAAAAAAAAAAAAACTAACAGCTAATGTACCTTCTTAAACATAACACTGTACTGATTATTCACACAGGTCCCTTCAGGAAAAATAAGAAGAGGGTTATTGTCGGCCCCCTGAACATGTTCCCTTAACCTGAAATTCACAAGTTCTTATCATCACAACATGCACCAGATTGTGATAAAATTTTTCCCTACTAAATTACACTTACTTCCTTGCTACAATTTCACGGTCTTTTGACTCTGAGCGATTAAACCAAATACATCCTACACTCTCCAATATAGTGCTCTGCAACAATCCTAACAATAGAAAAAATATTGATATTCAATCTATCATCAAAAAAACACAATATGAACAAACATAAAAAAGCCTCCTAAAAGGTAGCAAAATCCATCCTCCATGATAGCAAGGAGAATAAACACTAAGTTCTAAATCCCTGAAATCCGGCATTAAAGCTGTTGGACTATCTCCGTAAACAATGTCAGAAAACAACCATTTTCAACCAAATGTTCTGCAATATTAAATCAATACATGTGCCAAAAGTAATACTTACCAACCCATCCAGGATGCTTCTGCATAATGACGGCAAATGCTGTCATCTGTTCTAAGATGATGAAATCGATCATAGAAGTATGATTGGCAACAAAAACCTGTTTAATCAAGAAAAGGCAAATTTGGAGATAGTGAATTAGATCATGTGAGTTTTACTCTTCAAAAAACCTGTGCATTTAATGTTCACTTAGATATAGAAAAGTAAAAGTTCAGAAACTTATAAATTATAGAACTACACTGAGATGGACCTGCTTAGGTCGTCTACTAGGTCGTGGACCATGATATTTAACAACTCCAGTCCAGGATGCAACAAAGAAGCTGCAAATTAGCTCCACCAAAATCCTCTGAAAAGAAATTAAGCCAAAAGATATTAGGTTAAGGTAATAAACCTAGAAAATATGTAAGAATATTGATATCATTTATCCAGTGTTCCACTTCTCATCTTTCATCTTAGGTTGCTGTGATCTCCAATGTAAATACCTAATGATTAGATTTTACATCTCAAAAGTTGTATGATTATATGTAATATCTAGTACAGGACCAAGCTAAAGCTTGTTATCAGGGCAACACAACAACCTACAACCAGAATGCCAAAGCTACCACTTCGGAGATTAGCAAATTGAAAGGAGATTTAAAACCACCTCTTTTTTTCTTTCAGGCATGGAATGAGCAGAAACAAATTTGTAAACATGGCAAAAATTTCAACAAAGTAAAATTTATACCTCCATCTTTCTCCGCAATTTATCATGTCCTTTCAAGAGAAAGTGCACCGGAATGAACGATGACAGAAATATAATCCATCCTATAGTTAATGTTATAACCCTGCCGAAATAACAACATTATAGAAGTTCATAAGCAAGAATTTTAACATCAAATCAGTCATTTTGACACAAACTATAACCACCTGGATGAAATGTGTTACAGGTCTTGAAAATTTTTCTGAATCTCATTTTAATATTCCAAATTTCAAATTAAAAGAAAAGATCTTTGAAGTATCAATTAAAATGTAAATTATTGAAGTAGTGTAGCCAAATATTATCAAATGATAATGAGAAAAGTTTAGGCAATAATTTCTAGTAAAAGTCTGATTGGAAACCACTTTGTTGTGGATTGATTCAAGAAAAATGTTCACAAGCTAATTGTTGTCCCTCCTGCATTGCATCGTTGCAAGTAGTTGAAACACAAAGAACTTAACATTCCACAACTTGAGATTTGAGATAAATTAGATTTACAAAACTTTAAGGGTCTCTACAGTATTTTAAGGGACCTCTAATATTTGAAAAAAACTGAAAGCAGAAGATTAAATTCATTTGTCTTAAATGCCATAAATCTGAATTCATTAGTTTAAAAAAAGAATCCAAAATATAAGTTAGCATGGGCAAGCATGCAATAATGTTGTTGTCCCTAGAACAACAACCATGGATAAAATGGTAGCATTTCTCTATCAAAAAGGGGAGAGGCTAACCTCAAGGGGAATAAAATGAAATATCGAAATACCACACCACAACACCACAGAGGAAACAGGTACACATTCCAATTCCATGGTTCCGGAGGATTTGACTTGAAACATCGTGTGAATGAATCCTGCTCATTCAAAAATATACTTTATTGGATTGAAAATTTGCAGCAAAAAAAAATAATAATAATAATCAATTTAAAAAGATGTTTATCATTGTTAGACTCTAAATTAAATACTATGAGAATTAGGACATGTGGAGACATCCTAAAAATAGTCCTATCAAGATTAGATAGGTTAAATCCCACTAGAATTAGAATACCCAAACACCAATCAAATAGAGTTGTAATCCTAGGATAACTTTATGTAAATATCCTATAAATACCTCAAGGATCAACCTAAGGAAGCAAATTATTTTTCATGTTCTTAGTTCTCCACTATCTTTTCTATTTTTTAGTGTTAACATTTGGCGCCCACCATGTGGCCGAGTTCTTTTTGATCAACGAATGCCACATGGTGAATCTTGCCAACAAAAATTCGTTATGGCCGTACATGAATGCTCCAAGATTTGGAAACAATGGAGAAACAAGTGGCTTTTCTTCCTCTCGGATGAATTTCGGTGAGAGGCTCGAGCAGGATATGGTTTAAAACAAGTGCCCCAGAAACAAGAGGAGTCACGGAGGATTACACCGCCTTTAGTAATTATGATGATCAAAGCTATACACACTCAAAACAGAAAGCTGTGATCTAAGCTAAGCATATTTACTTTTTTATTTTCTAATTTTCAATCTTAATAATCATGCAAGTTACTGTGTTTTTAAGAAAACTAACCTTTTTTGGAGAAACTTTTTGGAGAAGGCCACATAGGCCAAAAAGCTCCAAGCATAGGAATTCATTTACAGGATGCAGAGGTCTAACAAGAGTTATGAGACAGAAAATCACAAAGCAAAATCCAATGCGAGAGCACCAAATTGCGCACAACATAGAGGAGTATCAATCTTATGTAATGCCACCAGCTAAGAAGGTCAATACCTCAGCAAAGAAAACTTGGGAAACAAAGCTTTCAAAGCCCAATTATCCCGATGGAACCTTAGTTCCAAGGACCTAAAATGTTGCGCACATTCATTTCACATTGCTAAAAACCACTTTCAAGTGGAACACAACTTTAAGAATAAGATCTTGGCTGTACACATCATTGCTCACTTCTATGCAACATATCACTTCAGCATCACTTTTAAGTGATCCAAAGCCTTAAACACCAGACATGGTAAAAAGAATATGAACGCGTGAAACTATTGAGCTGTTCTTAAAGCTCTGAAATCCAGATAGGGTTAGTTAACTCAAAATTCTAAGAAAAACTAACCGGAATATGCTTAAGCAAACTAAAAGCTGCAAGCAAGTTTGGGTGTGTACATAAATACCCAGGCAAAAGCTACGCCAACGAAAGCTGCGAGCAAGTTTGGGTGTACATAAATATTCAGGCAAAAGCTACACAAACGAAAGCTGTTAGCAAGTTTGGGTGTACATAAATACCTAGGCAAAAGTTACGCAAGCAAGGCTATATTAAAAGCTGCGAGCAAGTTTGGGTGTACATAAATACCTAGGCAAAAGTTACGCAAGTGAAAGCTGCACGCAAGCTAGGGTGTATATAAACACTTGGGCAAAAGCTACGCAAGCAAGGCTACAAAGGTTCAAAAAGAGGTCCGAAAAGCTAAAGAAGGATACCTTGAGAACCTCCGCATAAATAGAATTACTCCTACTATGAATAGTTGTAGCAGAATCCTGTGTCCCAAAAGCTGCTCAATCTTTCTTTTACTTCAACCAGAGATCTACCTAGAGGAACATATGATGGACCTTAATCATAAACTTCCTTCAACTTTGGATCAGCTTAAACCTCCAACAAAACAGAAAAATGGCAAAGTAGAAGAAAGAAAGCAAGAATAGCGGAAGAAAAGAAGGAAGAAAAATCAGAGAAGAAAGAAGAGGAAACCGAGAAACAGAGACGCTACAAATCACCGGTACAAACTCACAAATAAAAGGTGGACATGTGTCAAAAAGTCTGCAAGGGAAATGACTACACCAACAAAGAAATCTTGAAGACAATACAACTAAATACAAATAAAGAAGTCAGGATACCTGCGCAACATATGGAAATCCAGCAGAGAGCACTCCAAAAGTTGTGAATACAAGGAAAAACCTGTGCTGTACTTTTTTTTCCTTAAGCTAATTTTTTATCCCACAAGGTTTTTATTAGCTAAGGTTTTTAATGAGGCAGCCATGGTTGCAAAATCTTCGCCATAAAAAGATGGAACCTCTTAAAGGCAAAGATATGAAAAAGCTATGCACAATTTGGAGTCAAGTTACAAATAGCAAAACCAACGTGAAGATGAGACTCAACAAGTTTTCATTACCCTCAAACTTCTTCGTTGGGGGGCAAATGTTATACCCTAAATTAAGTCCTATGAGAATTAGGACACGGGAAGACATCCTAAAAATAGTCCTATCAAGATTAGGTAGGTTAAATCCCACTAGAATTAAAATACCCAAACACCAATCAACTAAAGTTGTACTCCTATGATAACTTTATGTAGATATCCTATAAATACCTCGAGGATCAACGTAAGGAGGCAGATTATTTTTCATCTCTATTCTCTCTCCATTGTAAACTCACTCTATCAATAAAGTTCTTAGTTCTCCACTATCTTTTCTATTTTTTAGTGTTAACAATCATGAATAGCAAACCAGCCTTCCCAACAGAGAAAAAAATGAACAATTCATCAGAAAGTGATTATTCAAAAAATCACTTTGAGACAGCATTCCTTTTCTTCAACATCAGATGACGTTTTCTTTAACTGCCAAAAATTCTACTATACCATTTTCTTTGAACAGAAAATTAACATAATAATAATTTTCTCTAGGAACAAACAGAACTTCAAAATCATCAATATAGAACGAAGCAGCTTACATCAATAATGGCACCGGCAGCCTCAGTTAACGTCGGAGAAATGTCGAGCAAATCGCGCCTAAAAACCAGTTCACCACCACAATTAACCACAAATCAAACAATCTCCAAACTAATTAAACCACTAACACTCGTGAATCTGTAAAACTTGGCTTCAATTACCGAATCAAATAGCACAAAAAGGAAAAGCAGGCAAAAACAGAAGAAGATAAGAAGATTTACAGGCGAAGCTTGCCGTGGGGCTCTTGAATGGTGGATCCGGATGGTAGATAGTCCTCGATATTCGGTCGATCTAGGTCCAACTCGGAGCTGGAGGCCTTGAGAGTCCTTGGACTGCTCATGTTCGGACAGCTTGGCGCTGGGATCGGTTGGTGCCGGTGGTAGCTTCTTTCTGCGAAAGCGAGCCTAGTGCTCCATTTATGTTTTAAATTTTAAAGAAGAAAAAGAAAAAGAAAA